AGCATACCTAAATAGAAAATAATAGAAGTATATGCTCGAAGTTAATACTCTGATTCGAGCATCAAGTGTATAAATTATGTAATTTCGGTATGTAAAGCTTCAGAGTAGAAATGCTCTATGGAGCCGTTCGAAGATCACACGATCATTGTTTTAATCATTATGAATTTCACTCCTGTGATTAGGCGTTATTTTTGGGGTCTCCTCGATAACTTAGTTTCTTTAAGACCTTCTCCTAAAATGCCAAATTTTTGTTTTTCAAACTAGTCTTTCTTTCGAAGTACTTATCTTCATTTTTGTATTCATTTCGAAAGTGAAATGTTTCTACATCAATAACAAACTCTGTTTTTCGAAATGCTTTCTTTAAAACACGATCAATATCAGGATGCGATTCTGTAATTGATGTAATTTTTTCTTGCCTCTTCATATCCAGTTGTTCATAAGCCCGTTTCTTTACTTTGAACGAGTAATATCATACGAGTGTTAATCACATTTTGAATCATCAAATGATCGTTGTGTGAAACATTACAAGAATGAGAATGTGCCATGTTTTCGGTTGAATAATTTTCTTTAATCTCTTTATTGTTGGATATATTATTAACATTATTTGTAATAATAGAATCATTTGATTCGGTAGAAGATATATATACATCAAGAATAATATCAATAGAATTCTTGGGTGAATTAATATTTGATTGTTTTATGGAGATTTACAAACTATTCTTGCCTAATTGTTTTGTTTCGAAGGGTATTTTCAATTGTTTCGCCGAAGTGATTGATTATGTTTCTTAATTTGTTTCTATTCCTTCTTGAGTAATTCATAAGCTTTCAAGAAGGAGTGAGATAGACAAACTTTAAAAAGAACATTAAGATTCCTAACTTAATGTTCCATAAGTATTATGGCAGCTCCATAAGGTATCTCGAAACAATTTGTAACATCCACACCTCCATCCCTTCCCATAATATAAGCCCCATGAGAAAGGTTCGTATGAAAGATGGATTAGAAGTCCCAGGGCTTGTATTTCATCCGAGAGTTTTCAGAGCTTTATTTTTTGAAAATCACTCTTCGTTCTCAGCAATAATAGTTTACATTGGCAAACGCTCTGTACATGAGAAAGTGCACTAGAAGACGCTGCTCAATGTGTTTATCAATGGTGTCAATGGTAAAGAACAGGTTTTATGTGTTAAGATCCATGTATATTCGTGTTTCACCGTCGTTCTTTTCATGTATTGGATGATATGTTTGTGAAGTAATGTAATCCAATCTGTGACTGCTGTATTGAATAATCGTCGATGTATATGGTGGAGCTTTGAATGATCTTATTAAAGTAGAAAAATTAATACAAGCCAATTAATGTTTCATGTACGTCAACGTTTTATGATATAATCTTGTTAGAGAGACAGATGAAAAGAATGAATAGGCTAGAAAAACGAGTATATACATATACACATATATATACTGACACAATCGCTCGCGTGGCACTTATTCCAAATTTCTCATTCGTAAATCATTATTGTATTGACAATGTACGAAGTCGAAGAAGTTGAAAAACACCTGGCTCCAATATCAGGCCTCGATACAAACTTGATTTCGGAGGAATCCCATTTCGATGACGATTCATGTGTTGAAATTACCTCCAATATCGATGAAAATGTAAATGAATTGGTCAAATGAACAAATTATCTACAACTGAACTCGGACAGCAACGAAGACAGTGATCAAGATTATTCATCGACTCTATCTGCTGCACTTGTTGATTATTCATCATCAGAGGCATTCAGTGACCATGAAAATATCTCATAATCGTTTCATCAACTCGCCACTCCTAATAAACAAAGTAATATCGATCCTATGCCTACTTCATCATCTACCATCGTCAAGAAGCATCAGCATCGTCAATGGGCTGTGGCCGAAAAATTACATGCAGTCGTCTGTTTCAAACAAAACAACAACAAACACAAAACAGCCCAACATATTGGATGTACGACAAAACAACTTCGCATGTGGATCAAGAACAAAAATGAATTAATTGCATTGTCATCTAAAAAAAAGGTGAGTAATCAATGTTCCCTAACAATGTATACTTCAGATCAAAGTCTAATTTTGTTTTATTTAGGCAACAAACGCAAGCGTCTCGATGGAGATGGCAAGACATTAAAATACATCGACCTCGACTCTCGTTTATTCGCTTGGTATCGTGAAAAACGTACTGCTCTTGCATCAACAACAAATGTTTCTGATGTTCGCATCGAAAGGATGACATTTCGTCAACTTGAACGTCGAGAACGACCATTGAGCGAAGAACTAAGCCATTCATGTCCATCATCAAAATGGTTTGGCCTATTTCTCGTTCGCTATGGACTCTCTCTTCAACGTCCCAAACGACAACAGAAAACCCCACTCAAAGAAATCCATCATAAAGCAGCCTCATTTTTTTCATTTCTTTGACGAGCAAGTCGTTGAGCTCCAAAACGGGGTGTAATGGGTGCATTTACTCCACGTGACATCTTCAACATGGATAAATCTCCTCTTTCATTATTTGATGACCAGGCGAAAAGATCAACCAACGATATCAATACTTGCAATGAAGTGGAAGGATGTTTGACCAATAAAGTGAGTACTTCTCTTGCTTTTCTCTCAACTCAGAACAAATTAAATCTGTTGATTAGTTGTGAGTCTTTCTACAGAGATTCAATTCGAATATTTGTAAAATCTAGATAAAATGCTGACTCAGCTGACTTCAGAGTTGATTGAGGTTAGCATTTTTGTAACATACATCACCTCTGACAAGAGTGATTGAATATGATTGGACGTCTTTGCTAAGTCAATAAAATCACCTATAGATAC